GACTGAATATCTGAATGTGGGTGGGTATGTGAATATGGGTGAGTGATTGAATAAATGAATGAGTAATAAAATACTAAAGAAATCTGTATCTAAGCTGAACGCCATTATCAGCCTATGTCAGCACCAGGCTTGTTTGTATGTTTGACCTAGCTAAGTTAACATCAATTTAGCTAGCCAGGCAACTTTGTCTTGTTATAATGCCTTTTTTATGTGAGGATGTGATGTTAGCCTAATCCAAATAAGTTAATACTATTGTTATTCACTGGCTATTTCATAATGTGCCTTTATATGAAGTGTTATGGTCACATGAGTCCATGCCTGTCTGTGAGTCTCTTTTTGTCAGTCGGTCTGTTTGTACGTGTGTGTGTGGGCGTGCGTGCGTGCGTGTATGCGTGCATGTATATGTGGGGTGTGTGTGTGTGTGTATGTATATATATATATATATATATATATATATATATATATATATATATATATATATATATATATATATATATATATATACATATGCATATATGTATGTATATATGTATGTATGAATATACATATGTATATATGTATGTATATATGCATGTATATATATGTATAAAGGTATATATGTATAGGCGTCTTCTGTACATGCCATAAAAGTTAATTCCGGATTAGAGTTAATCCAAATCTTCAGTACTTGCACAGAAGACGCAAGACACACTGCCATGCGCATATATGGAGGGCCCGATATATGTATATACATTTTGTAGATGTATGTATTTGTATGAATGTGATGTTTGTTATATGCTTATTAGTGCATAAGCATTAAGTATCTGGCTACTCTGTAAATCTCTGCATTCTGATCACCCAATATATTTGTATTCCATAACCAGTAATTCCTCTGTGGCCTCCTCACAGGACGATGCCCATGAGATGGTGACAGAGCAACTGACAGAGCTGCAGCTGCATGAAAACGGTGGCAACATTGGCGATGACAGTGGCCAAGGGGAACGGGAGCTGACGGAGCTGGAGAAGCAGCAGTTGCAGGATGAGGCTGATGGCTGGACGGTGCAAAGGAAAGGGAGGAAGAGGCGGTAGTGCGCCTCGGGTTGTAAAATAAAGAAATCTCAAAATGTGAATGGTTTTAATTCAGACATTTGAAAAAATGATGTAAGATACAACATAAATATATGTTTATGTTACATGCACACTCATGATGGATATATAGTATATATTTATGCAAAATGAGGTCTAATATATTAGATAATAAACAGTTGCGAATAACAAGAATGAGGTGAAAAATAAATGTATTGGGAGGCATTAATGATATACAGAAATGTATTAGGTAAAAAGGGTATTATGAGAAAATGAAGATGATAAATGCAGTTAAAAAAACAAACAGCAGATCAGATGGTTTCCTATGAATGGACAAAGGTTAATCAATGGTGGCTATAGCAAAAATTGGACAACTATTTCTAGACTGATATCCTCCCAATGCAGGCAACCAATCCCTTGGAGTAAGCTTTGAATCATCAGCTCAAAAAGTGGTGCAGCAGCCTTCTTTATAAACTTTCTCTATGGTGAATTGGTACTAAGAGGGGTATTTACTACCACTTCTTTGCTGCATTTGATTAATTTTGGTGAAATCCTCAGTAGATATTGACAAATTGTCTTTATAGATGATCCTGTCTAAGAATAATGCCATAGCAGTACTGCAGTAATCTTCAGGTTCTTGAGCACTGTGTAACTACTACTACTTTATAATTCAGGATGTGTATCTCTGCATAAATCTTTTGAAATACTTTAACAAAAATAATTTATTTTGTGATGATTCAACTAGTGAATGTATTTCCTAATTTTATTTGAGTTTGCTGCTGTAGTTCTGCATGTTTTATTCCTGTTCTACATGTGTGAAAAACTATGCACTGTGTTACCTTTTACTTTATGTTGGTACTATGTCATTGCCATTGAGTTGTGGCTATTCAGCTTCTGTTTGTTTTTACTTTTATTTTACTCTACTAATCATCGCTACTCTAACTATGCTTAGTGCCTTAAGCTGAATATTTTTGCTACATATTGTAACATTCTTCAAAACTGGCTCCATTGTTGGTCTGACTGTAGGAAGCAGTTAGTCTTATGCTAATAGTGCATTCTTGAGCTTTGTAATTGCTGTTGTCATTCATCCAGTGAAATTTTCTCCAGCATTGTCAGGAAACTTGAAAAGCTTATTCCCTTCTTGGACATACTTAATCTTAGACATAGTTAATCTTTATACCTTTGTGTTTTGCTTATTAGAATGACTAAATAGATGGTCAAGTGTCATAGTAGTATGGCAAGTGATTTTGTGATTGTGGTATCTTGATTGAGCAAGGAAGTACAATGTAGTAGTGCAATATCCTAGAGATTTCACTCTAGATTGTAGAGAAACACTATGGCTCACTGTCTGTCTGTATATGTCAATAAGAGTGCCTTTGATGCAGTGTCAATGGATGAGTAGATAAATGGGTGTTCTAACAGTTGTATTATGTAAGGAAGTGTTAGAGGACAGAGATCTTCCCAGTAATGGCCGATTTTCACAATTATGCATATATGACAACATGCTGTGTTAACGAACTGCAAGGCATAAGGTGAATTTTGGAAGTTGTCTAAAGAAATACGACCTCTAGACTAATGATTCATAAAAAAAAAAAAAAAAAAAATATGGCATCCTCCTCTGGGCTTTGGTAATACTTGGCACAAGTGTCACAGGGTTCTTGAAAATGGAAAGAAAAAAATCTATATTTCTCTCCCTCTCTCCTTTTTCTCTCCCAACATTTCTCTTCCTCTCTTTACGTTTCTTCATTTTCTCAGGATTACCCAATATCTGTCTCCCATTTTCAACATCTAGTAACATTTCTCTTTTTTTTCACTTCTCTGTTTCTTTCTCCCTTTATATTTATCTACATTTTTTCCCTTATTGGACGTTTCCCTCTCAGTTCTACTTTCTCAACATTTTTGTTTATTTCTCTCCGCCCTCTCTGCATTTCTTTTCCTCTCTCTGTATTATTCATGCTTCCTCTAGACCAGTGGTTCTTAACCTGGGAGGGCGCCCTTGGAAAAAAAAAAACAATAATTTCTTTAATTATCTGGGTGACTAGATGACTTTGAAGAGAAAATATAAAGATCTAGTAAATTACTCTATATAATAAATCTAATATCTTATAATTTAAGGCGAATTATTTCAATAATTTATCGGTACCAATAATAGATATCTTATAAAAGAGTATGTAATGTATTGGCCTCTCATTTTTCGTTTTTTACCGAAATGTATGGCAAAATTCAATAAAATAAAAGTTTATTATAACTTCAAGCAAATGCACAACACAAACGTATCGAGAGTATTTAGATCATGTGACCACCATATGACTTATGACTTTATTATAAGAAAAGGGCAAAAACTGACAAGCGATCGGCATTAAATGACATACGCATACACATCAACACAACGATTCCGGTAAAAGTATGAACGTCCTATGAAATTGTGTTAGACGAAATTAACCTAAGAATAGAACAACAAATATTTATTCCCTCGTCTCTGCATAACCATTAGTGTATCTATTTTCTTCACACATCATATATGTCTTTAGCCCCCGCTCTCATTGATGTCCGCCATTCTTCTGAGCGGTTCTAAGTAGTTATATTATTTTTTTTTTAGAATTATTTAGACTTTGCGCTCGATCATCTTCAGTCGCAGAGGCTAGTCTGGGATGAGAGTTAAGACCATAACGGGGTTGAGCGGATCATAATGCCACTCTCGTCGGTACTTGTGCAGCAACTGGAAATACAGATCTCATTAGCTTGCGGGAAGTGTGTGTAGATACAAGTAATGACAAACATTTCACATTTGAAAAAGACAAAGAAAAGGAAGCAAACTAATGTAAGAATGTTACTACTCTTCCATGTCCAACACGAATGCAAATCAACGCAAGTAAGCATATACCCTGGTAAGAAGCGTGTAGGTCTGTTGCTCAGCGAGCCTGCGACCGACGCAGCTTCGAACGCCGAGGCTAAAGTGCATTGAGGAGTGGGGATTGATGGGCCCTAGAGGCTGACCGCGCAGCCACCGCTCGGGCGAAGTGCTCCAAATTCACGTTGAACTGGAAGGCTGAATATCATCTATTTATCTGTGTATGCATTAATCTAGTTAGTTAGCTACCTATCATTATGTATGTATTTATATATACGCGTACGTACACACTTTCACGTCGTTATACTTTAATAAATGCAATCAAGAGGTCGAGAGTGCATGAGGTTACCTGGGAAATTGTGGAACAAACATTGATATAAACTAATAAGGATAATGGTTAACGGCTACAAAAATAAAGTGCTAGACATCAAATGCCATATAGCACTATAGAAAGGTGAAGTAATGCTACCGGTCAAAAGTCTTAGCAGTTCAGGATAGTATAGCATCGAAAGGGGCAAGAGGGATGAGGGTACAGAGTGTGAGATCAAAGTTGTCAAAGGAAGAAGTGTGGAATTCTGCAAGGATCTGTAGAGTAAGGTAAAGATTAGCAAAAGAGAAAGTGAGTTTGAGGGTGATTAGACCACAGTTTCAGGAGAAATGTCGCAGGGAGAGAAACCAGGGAAGGGGTTGTTGCTACAAAGAGTCACATGTGAATCTAGGGGTAGCGGAAGGGATAATGGGGAAGGAAAGGGGGGTGATGCAGCTGAAGCAGGGGGCAATAGGACGTGTTGGGGGGGCGAGTGTTAGGAAGGGATGTAAGGGGAACACGAATAGGAGGAGGATGGATGCCGGTAGTTACTCTGAGTGTAGAGGGAATGGGAGCAGAGAGGTTGCAGGATAGATTAGGTGTAGGCATGTTATCTTAGTTCTGAATGTCGAGAGTTTCTGAAATGGATTGGTTAGGGAGGTCTGAGAAACAAAGGTTTTCTCATGAGGAGAAAGGCGTCTGAGGGGTAGATGAATAGGTAGATGGAGGAGAGGGTGTGGAAGGAGATGGTGTGGAAGGAGATGGTGTGGAGAGAGAGAGGTGGAGGGGCAATGGTAGAGATTGGGCTATCCAAATTTAGAATTGTAAAAGAATTTGATTGGGAGAGGAGAAGTAGAAACCTTAGATGGAGAAGGAATAGATACAAGAGTGGATTATAAACATCTTGGGAGGGAGAGGGAGGGGCGGAGTTAAGGGCAGCACTGGAGTAGGGAGACAGAGAAAAGCCTCGAGCTTCCAGCCTGGACTCGGGTAGACTTTCATTGATGATGGCCAGGTTGGGCACATAGAGGGCATCAAGCTGTAGAGCGGCAGTGTTTAGAAAGGTGGCCTAGACGCCAACATTTCTGATATTAACATGGTGAGGTTGATATAGTCGAACAGGAAGGGACTCTCCGCCAATGTAAACATTAAATGGGAGGTCATCTCGGCAATATTGGTGGAGGACTGTGGAAGGAAACGTAGCCTATTTGTTTTTGTAGGCATTGCTGGAAGAGGAGTGATGTCGGAGTAGGGACCGTGGAGGGCACCACGGCTGGGATAAATAGAGTATTCAAGATGTCTGTAGAGGAGGAGGTAGTAGATGAAAATTGTAGGGAAGGGGATGAAGTAGAAGATGTTAGGGGAGGAAGAATGTTTTCTGGAGGTTGAATAATGACCTGGGAGTATGATTTGGATTGGACTGAAGTGAGAGTAGGCACTGAGGAAGGGCTTGTAGTAGCAGTGTTCAGAGTCGTGGGCAAAGGACAGACTGGGGAACCGGGAGAATTAAAGTCAGTGGAGCTAATTGATAAAGGGGCAAGTCTTATTGCCCCTAACAGAGGTACAAAATCTTCATAACCGGCCATGGTAAGCCTGAAGAACGTTGGGAGGGTCCCCTGGAAGGGTGAAGGCTAGACTACTAAACGGGATATGGGGTCCATGCCTCCTCCAGGCCGTTCATGACTGGCAGAAAGTCAGTCTTTTATCCTTTCAACACGGTTCTCGCCTTTGGAAGTGATAGTAGAAGGGGTAGGAGAAGAGGAAATGGAAAGGGAAGAAGAAAAGACCGTGCAAAATTAGTTGAGTCAAGGACTGAAGCCCAAGGTAGAGGTGATCCCCAGCATTGGGTCCCAGTCTCTGGCTCTGGATCCCCATGGGAAT